CGAGTAAGACGGAAGATCATAAAAAACCCGAAGTATTTCAATCAAAGTCAAATTTAGAAATAGTTGCTTGGCTCGTCGACCATCCGGAAATTTTAAGGTTGGCACTAGAAATGAACAATACGGATGTTGCTATCTCATCATCCAGTAAAATTACGGACGTAAGTATTAAATTAACATGATAATATTTATTTGTCTAAATCTTTTAAATAATGTATTTTTAATATTTTAGGATAAAATTCGTCTATAGGACGAAAGTGTTAAGTGTCTTTTTTTACGTGCGAGAAGTCCACGTGGTGAAGTTTTTGATGAGTTGATAACAAAAATTTTCAAAATAAAAATACATTCGAACGAAGCTAAAAGCTACCTCAAAAAAACCTGAAAATTTTTCATCGACTTCAGAAATAAGTTTAACCAAATTATTTTAACTTCTGTAGAAGAATTTAAAGAAATAAGAAAAAACAGGTATTTATTTAATTGTTTCCTAGCTAACCAAATAGTGCTGTTTGTATTAATTATTAATTTAATTATAGAGCATCTACCGGAAGTTTATCTCAAAAGGAACTTATAGATTACGTTGATTAAGAATTTGTTCAAAAGATTTTAAGCCTACAGCTTGTAGCTGTTAATATTTCAGAATTAACAAGAAATGAAGAGTTCGATATCTTGGTTGATTTCGTAAGAGAAACCTTTAAGGTTTCGTGGAATGGAAAAAATTTGTCCGCCGTTAAAGAATTAGATAATATAACCAAAGAATTAACGATCCCTTCTAGGAGTGGAAATAAGATTGTTGATTCTTTATCGGTAAGTTATTTTATTTATACTGATACTTCATATCCTTTAATCATAGTTATTAATAATAATATTAAATTATACATAGTTATAAATCTTAGCAAACGCTCTAATTTTTTTATAAAATTATGCATTTTATAACGATATTACATTGAATAAATTTAGTAAATTTTACAAGTAAATGATAATATGAAACATCATTATTCTAAACATTATACCAT